TTTTTTTTCGAATCGTTCAGAAAGACCAGCAATCATCATCACATAACGGCCAACTCTTTACCCAACTATCCCTCAAGATGTATCACAGACGCCTCTTCGATTTGATAATGCTTCAATGGTTTGCTATCCTCCAACTCGACGCCTAAACCAAAAATGATCATATTACTTTTGAATGTAGTAAATGAAACATTTCAAACAACAAAAGTTCAGCTTTTAAGATATTCGATTTGCGAATTGCTTAAAAATTATTGAAAACTGAAAATTCTGCAGCTGCAAGATTGGAAATTTTTAGTGAACAAGTTGACAGCTGATTAGAAGGAAAAACTTCATGGAAAGGACAACGAATCAATGTGCCATATGCATATGAAAAATTGACACTCGTTGAAAGTGGACGAAAAAGCAAACCGTTGATAAAAATTTTTGTCTTTCGTAACAGCGTTTCAGAAACAGAATCGTAGTGGATCAATTTTAGTCGATGTACCCGATGCCTCTTGTTCACAGTCTTTAATCAAGACCGAAATTAATGGCAAACGACCCTTATGAGGTCTTCAGGCATATGTGTTCAAGTCTTCATTGTAGAGTCTTCTAGTTTTTGCAAATTCACATGCCGAGATTTGAAACCTTTCAGTTGCACATTCGTTCATAACGAGAAGATAAGTGGAATTAACATCCAGCGAATTGAGAGGCAAACTCTCATTCGATTAGAAGNGCCGTCAGCATAACATAAGACCGTCATCTTAACATACACGAGAGAAGCATTCAATCGAACTGACTATGCACGACGAACCATTAAATAGAAGTCTAGCGTTTGACAAATCGCGGTCCTTGACTTCCGCTTGGATTTCGTTCCATAACGCTCGAACATCGTCTTTTGCTTGCACATCAATTGACAACGTTTCACCGTGCTCATTCTATAAGAAGCAACATTGAGATACAGTGAACTCGAACAGTTTGATTAGGCCTTATAGTATGTGATGTCAAATAATCATTAATAGTTTTTGATTGGCGTTATTTGCGATTCTCCATTTCTTTCAACCGATGTCTGCATAGAGAAGTGATTCATTAATGGGGATAGAGTGAGGGCACTTTTTAAGTCGATGCATTTCTACGAATACAATCGACCCGTTTTAGACGTCAAAAAAGCATACAACCTCAAGCGTAATGGTGCAATTAGCGCATATGCGACGAATGGAAAACAATAAATTTGAAATGAGCATAATGGAAAAATTGTGAAAACAAATTGGGAATTAGTCGAATTTGTTTGCTCGACTGAACACTAGATAGAAGGAAATATTCAAATTCACTTCCTAATTCCAGCTTACCTTCACAAAAACGAGCATTCTAACGAAAAATTGAGAAGCTGATGAATAAGTGAAGTGAAAGTGTCTAAAGTGACGTCGTCGTATACGTCTCAAAAGCTTCTCGCAAATCGAGGAACTTCTTCAACGAACAAATAACAGCAAGTGGAATGAAATCGCTAAAATTAATTACATACGATCGCAATGTTGAAATTAACAATGAAACAAAAAATGAAATGAATTATGGCTTCGTTTAGGATGCATTTTTTCCGAGAAAACAATATCACCCTCGCAAAATATGTATAACACTGATCAGTGGGACAATACGAATTATGACGTTCAGTCAAAGTTGAAGCAAGTGCTTCAAAAACGAAGAAAAATTGTGCAGAGTTCTAGGTAAAAATAGAAATCAATTCTGAAGCATAACACATTTTCCAGAGAATATCTCAGAGTTGAATCACTGATAATGAGGAAATACGTGTTTATTGTCCTCTAAAGAAAATAGTGCATTCAGATGAAAGTATCAAAAGTTTGGTGAAGTGAGAAGATATGGAAATTTCAATTTCCTTCAAGGTTAATTAAAATGTTTACAATTACGCATCATGTCTGCTTGTAGAGCAATCAAATATCGGCACGAAACTGGAAAATTTTAAAAAGAGAAAATAATTTTAACAACGTAAAATGCAAGTCATTACAAGTGGTCACGCAAATGAAATTTAAGAATACATTCTGCATAAGTAATCGTCATTTTTACTGCACAGTATGCTATGAGCTTAAAATAACATGAAAAGAGACTGGTAAACTATTATCTGGCGCATTGAATTCGATTTTCACACAGCATTCATCCACTATGCGTATAGAAACATGTGAGACAATAATATCCCACTCAGTTCTGAAACCTTTCGCATAAAACAATATTCAATTTCAGTGAATGAAATTGGCCTCTATTGTTGATCAGATGTTCCGTGACTAATTGATTAATTCCTCACAGCATTCAAATTTTCATCAGTCGTAAAGGATGAAATACCAAAATTGATTCACACAAACGCGAGTACATGGTCGATGAGCAATGTTCGAAGCACAGCGAAAGAATAACTCAAAAGGCCTCGTTAAATCGGTAAACGTGAGGTAGAAACAAGTTTCGTGAAGATTTGAAGCTGAGAAATAGTGTTGACTGTGATTAGTGGAACGACACAAACGATGCTCAATGGTACCAAATTGACGAGTTTTAATTAACGGCTTCGGAAAAAGAATAACATTCATCGTGTAAGTGAATGTAGTATTCCACATGTGTGCATATAGCAATCCTTCAAAGAATATGCTTCTGCTCTCGCCACCTGGATAGACTGCATCCATATAACGATCACAGTAATAAGGACCATCTGTTTACTAGTGATCCTGGAGTGCTTGAAACAGTTAGTTCAGAATTTATCGTATTGCCATCTTGAACTCGAGCCTAGTCTTGAAGTAATCAGAAGTAATTATTAGAAGCAAGAACACCAGCAGCTGATTTAGCTAACGAATACGTTTCACAATTACTAAAACGCAGCAGATAAAAATACCATTTTAATGGATTGATATCAATGAAATTAATTTTAAATTATTCCATTTGAGCATTTCATAAAATCAGATTTTTCAATTGGTAAATATATATATATATGTATACCAGATATGTGACGATTGAAAGAGCAAATCATTTAGACATTATTTGCGTCATTATAGGTTCAGATTACATTTGAACGAAACATTGAATTGCGGTGAGAAAAAATTTATCGTTAATCAATAATTGTTTCTGATTATGTCGCAAAATATCAACTCTCAACTCATTCAACGAAGCCATTTAACGAACAATTACTGCTCATATTATATTCTCCATATTGCCGACTTCTGATTAGTGCTTCAATAAAACAATAACATTCATCGCATTGAGCATGCTTGTACTTATATCATTTTACTAGATGCTACAAAACCATCATGCGGAGTACATTTAGCGAAATCTCGATAAAATCAAATGACATTTCATTTCATTTCACCATTTATTCAAGAAAAACGCACAGCTATAACTATGAAGCTAATCAGTAATTATTTCTAATTATGTCAAAAAATATCAACTAGGAAATTATTCGAAGTATGAAGAAGATGTACTGAAAAATGAAAGCGTACTTTGCTTGAAATATGCTCATGAAGCATTCAACCACTAATGAACACTGAACGTATTTTCCGTAGTCAAATCCAGAAAACTGAAAACGAACTGAACGTCGAACAAGAATTCTATCATCTAGAGGCTCTTACAAGTGTCACAATTATCGGTTTTTCAAAATTGCCATCAAAATGACGCCAAAACTGTGAACTATGATAAATGTTTACCAAAGAAACTAATATGATAACAGATATTGTTTGGCTCATAATAATAGCTATCATCATTAGCCAAACGACTGACAAATATTAACAGGAATTCACATATTGGATAGGATAATGTGGATTCCTATCATCCAACGGTGACCCTCACGACTCTCTTTCGATATTTTCACCGATCGAAACTGCACTAATCCAATGGATTTGCAATCAATAAGATAAGTTCCGGATGAGGTGAATCATTCCCTTGAATCGATTCGAGTATCGCGTTCGAGAATCAATTGTGAACGACGTTCAATCGTTGAGCTGAAAGCTAAAAAGTTTTTGATTTAGGAGAGATTTTCGTATCGTATTGCTGCAGCGACTGGTGTTCAGTGGTAGAATCCACTGAAATTTCGTTGGATTGTGAAATTGCTACAAGCGAACGAATCACTGGGTTGAGGTGTACTTCGCTGACGATATCTTTCATGATCGATGGCGGATGTCTGCTTCCTTGTCTCCTCCTCTTCTTATCGATTAGTCTTAACGTTCCCATTGCACAGTTAATTTATCTCATCGTTCATTCATTTGTGGCTAAAATCTAAAATCCGATCAAATTTTTTCATCTCCAATTTACATNGAATTTGTTGATGAATTTTGAAAGAATTTTGATTTGAAGATTTTTTTCTAAACTTCTTAATTCCTGAAATCCTGAAAAATGAGCGGATTGAAACTCATCCGTGTCTTTCTTCAGCATTTTGTACATGTGTCGATGAGACGCTGCAAATTGGAAAATCGATTGATACTACCCATATGAAACTATGGTTCTGAACTATCGTATGTGTCAAAATTGTCTTTCTCTTCACCAACAAAAAACGGCAGTTTCAAAAAAAAATCACCTATCACATGAATGGATGGAACAGAAATTGAAAATTTCCAATGCTGTAACTCAATCAAAAAGATGGCAGAAGAGAAATATTATCGATGTATATATTTTTGCTAAAATCGAAAAAATTGCGTATAATTTCATTTCATCCATTAGTCATGAAAACAGCACCAAATCCAATCGGAGAGTGCATCAAAAATGGATGATTCGAGAAATAAAAATGAACACTATATCAACGTTACGTTGTGTAGCAACGGTATCCACCCGTTTAATACAAAACGCATACAAGGTATGTATCATTAGCCAGCAGCACCAAATCACACATTAAATCAACTCGGTCACTCACCATTNTTTTTGCCGAGACTTTCTCCCTCCTACACCATATAATTATTATTTCTTTTACTCGTTTGTCTTTCTTTCTTCTTCCTGCCGAATGCGAAAAAAAATTAATAATTGAAATGAATAAAATTGATCCATTCAGCGATTGTTGATGCAAAAAAAATTCTCTGTTAGTTGGAAACGAACAAGAAGCCATCTGGGAACAATTCGAAGAAATTGAATTCTGAGTGAAATAAACCCATAGAATAAGACTTTATCTCACTTTGAAGCAAAGAATTTTAAAGAATAGCCAATTAGGTTTTATCTCATTTGAAATTCCCTTTGTTCAACTTCTGAATCGAATCTGCTCAACTGAATGTGCACTGAGCAATTCTTGAATTTTTGGAGAATGTTCGTTGTTCACAGACTTGTTAATCGAAGTTTGAAGTTGGAAGTAAGAATTTCCGAGCATTTTTAGTGGATGTCACGACTATTGAGTCGTGAGGTAATTGAAAATGATATTTTAATTATTAGAATGATTTAATAACAATATTGTTAGTTTG